CCGCCAGAGCCAAGCCACTGGCACAGCTCAGAATACATCTGAAATGTCTGAATGTTTCTGCAAAAGTTGGAGAAAACAATAAAAGTGAAAAGATTATAATCACGTTTGTCTATGAAGTCAATTTAAAAAAAAAAAAAGTATCTTCACTGAAGTTTCTTTTGGCGACCATGTCATTTCACTTGGATCGTTCAGACCGACAGCTATTATTCAGAACAAATACACAAGTAAACATGTTTTCCAGGCAGCTGGCAGTGAGTCCAGTTCAAGTCGTGGGTGTTAATGGTAACAAATGTTTGTTTTCTGAGAGAGTGCTGGACCTGCTGTGTCTGTTTTATGTTGGCTGTTGGATTTATTTGTCTTAGATTCCGAGCTTCATCTCTGTGTGTGGAGAGAATCAGAGCTGGACTCCCTACATAGACGAGCTTAAGGTTATTAGGGTGAAACCAAGAAAATATTGTTCCGTTCTCCCTTTTACATCTTCACTTGATGAATGATGTTGAGTTTTTGAGCAATTGAGTGAGCTTCAGTTCGCTGTTTCAGCCAAAATTACAGATTTGATTCACTCTTATTGTTCTCGTAATTAAATGTTTGGCCTCAGCAGGCAGTGTTACTCAAACAACTCTCTAGAAACCCACTGTACACAGTACACACTACTGCCCTGCACAAAAACAGAAGGCACATACAGTTGGAGTCTGGCTGGTGAACATGGAGGAGATTTTAGCAGTTAGACCAAAAACAGAGCAACAAGAAATCGACTTGAAACGTGATGTCAGTGTTGTATCTGCAAAAATACTCGTTGCAGCTTTAAAAATAATGAAATAAAAACAAGATAAAAGCGCTAATTAAGCTTTGGTCAACTTTCGGGAAGAGCCAGTCTGCTCATTTAACTCTCAGCAAGGAAATAATAATCAACATATTTCCCAAAATGTCAAACTATTCCTTTAACTCTTCTCTGACTGTACAACATAATCAGAAATGGTAAAGACAATGATTTGAGAGAGACCGACTCTACACTGTCATGTCCCTGATTTTCTAATTTTATGACTGTTACTCAATTGTCAAATGAAAAATGTCCCCTTCTATCTGTTTTCTTTGCCTCTGGCTCGTTTCTCCAGTGATTGAACTCAGGCCCAACCGTCGCCCAACGCAAGAATTTCAGAGGAATGCGACTGTGGTCAAAACGTGGCAAAACTGTGTGGTTCCGACACTGAGCACAAGAAGTATTTTTCTTCCATCCTCTGTTTTCTAAAAAAAGACAAAAGTCAAGAATTCCTTTTCCAAGTGGAACCCAAAAAACAATGCACACGCAGACACAAACACGCATTCACACATTTCCTCAGGGGGCAGAAAACATCCAGAGAGGAATTGTTTCCACGAATACACTGATTTCACCCAAATGAATTGAAACATAGTGATGGTATGAGGATGGTGTGTGGTGGTGGAAACTATGAGTGGTGCTGGTCGAGGCGGCGGTCGGAGGGAGGGAGGTTGCTGAGTCTCCGGAACAAAATTTGTAATCTGCAGACATGACATCACTATAACTCAACAGTGAATGGCTTGACGTGTGTGTGTGTGTGTGTGTGTGTGTGTGTGTGTGTGTGTGTGTGTGAGCTCTAATTGTCTACATAAAGCTTTATTCTGTGTGCCCCCCCACCAGTGCCATTACGCCTCCTGCCTCTGAGCCAGCCCAAGATGTGTGTGATTGTGTCCTCAAAGGTCTCCTTGTTTTTCTTCTCATGACTCTGACTTAAAAAACGGGGCCGCAGCGTTTACCCACAGTATCAGTTACTCATTCTGGACCCCGTTCAGGCCCCCCTGCCCCAATAACCTCCACTATTTCCTCGCTCTGCTAAGAGAACATCCTCTCTGGTGCATCCATCATGTTGTGGGGGACCTAAATCTGTTTATAAAGTCACATGTATGGGGACAACAAGCAAGTCCCCATAGTGTAAACCCTTTGGTTTTAGATGTTTAAAGGTTAGATGTAGGTCAAGGGTCAGGATTAGACTTGTAAACTACAGTTTCTCCATGAAAATCAATGTAAGTCGGTGCAAAGTCCTCTTCAGTCAACACATAACAATTCATATTGGGTTGCCAGGTTGTGAAAACACCTTTGGCAGTTGTTTGATTTGATTGAGTTGCAGATCTCAAAATTATCAGGAAATAAATAAGCATTCAAAACTTCAATGAATGGATTTAAACCCAGATTCCATGCAGCACGTTTTTAGTTAGTAAAACAATAATTGTACTTATTCATGTGTCTTATTAAGAGTTTTATAAATAGATTATTCACCATTAATAAAGCCGCAGTAAACCCATCAATACGTTTATTTATGGTTTAATTTAAAGCCTCCATGTGCACAAGGCAAAGTACAGATTCGCTTCAATAGACAAACTCCTCGTACAACTCTTAAAAATCTCACGCTCATCCACGTTTACGCATGAAAACGCCTCTAAGTTGTACCTGTCGTCTATTTCTGAGCGATGTAAAGCTGCGGGTCACATGAAACGTACCGGTGTTTGCGCAGCAGCTGCTGCAGCCTCTGGAGGATCCAGTCTCTGCGGGGTCGAGCCTCTTCAGTTCTGCTGTGTGATGAGACAAATGATTAAAAATCCTCCGCGGACTCTGGAACTGGTGGGTTTCCACGGACTGAAGCGTCGGAGTCTGGTGCGTAAAAGCGAAACTCATCCAAACACCGCCCCTCTCCGCGCGTCTCTCCACTCCCTCCGTCTTTCACCTTGTGAGGAGTTCACGCTGAAAGAAGGTGGACCGTGTGTTTTTTGGATGTAACAGAATATTTTAAATACATGGTGCAGGATCCACGTGGTTTCCGGCTGCTGATGTAAAAACCACTGTATTATCTCTCCAAACGGAAAATGCTTAAAATCATCTCATATTTACAGAAGTGGAAACATTATATAACAATGAACATTTTATGTTAACTACCATATTTAGCATTTGCAGAGAATATATTTACGTCTTGTGTATAAAGAATTGTGAATGATTAGTATAAGATTTATAAAGAACTTGTTCACACACAGGAACTAGTCTTGCAACAAGTCTTATAAAAACATTTTTAGCTGTTTATTCACATTATAAAGTGTTTACACACTTAAATTAGATTTTTATTCCAATTATAAAGCATTAATTCATCTTTAATTCAAATTATTACGCATGTATTGACTGTTTATTCTAATCATAGAGCATTTCTTCAGTTAGAAACCCTTGTTATAACTAGTTTATTGCTAATAAATGGTTAAGCACAGTTACGTTCACGAGGATAAGAGTGTTTAATCCCAAAAAGTCTCTATATTGTCTTTCAGTCTAAAACCTTTAGAGTTTTCTCTGTAGTTGGTCCTGTGGTTAGAAGCGAACTGCAAAGTCCTGACAGAAAAATCCCGGAGAGCAAGATATCATTTTCCCGCTCATTGACCTCCATTTTCCACAGTGGTGAGCAGGAGGTCTGGGGACGATTAGAGGCTTCGGCTGCGGCTCCGTCCTGCCACTACCCATTAAATCAGAATGTACAGTGCAGGAGAATGATGTAATGAAGGCTTTTAATTCATATGTGGTGTTTTTCAGTTTATTTACACAAACTATTGATAGAATGCTGGGTCCTCTGAAGGGTCTGACAGAAAAGAAATTATATATAAACTTTGATTTCTTATCTGATTATTGCAGAAGCATGAGTGGACTCTGAAATCTCAAATATGTACATGTCAATATGCTGCCATCTGCTGTTCAAACCAATGACTTACAAACGTTACAACTGCAGCAAACACATGCAACCAAACATTCAAGCAATAATCAAACAACTCAAATAATAATGAAGCAAAAACATCTTGTATATATTATTTAAGATTTATGTACAATAACAAATATATATCTTAAAGGAACCGCTAATCACTTTCACCAAAAAATGCAAAAATAAACTGAACCTTTGTGGAGTAAATCTGTCCTCAGTGTTCATCAAACTACAAAAAAAAGAGCTGTCAGCAGGCGTGGCAGGACGTGCGAGAGAAAAAGCATCAGCAGCTATTTCCAGACTCCATTAAATCAATCATGTTGTTGACTCCGTTGTTAATCAACCGAGGCTCTAATGGTGAAACTGGCACAGTTCTGGTCTGAGAATATCCAGAGCGGAGCGCTAGTTGCATGAGTCATTATCAACAGAAAACACCGGAGCGCAAACGCTCAGCAGGACTCGTTTTTCATACAAGGGATTAAAGACCTCGAGAGGTACATTGAGCAGGAACATGGAGGAAGTTTGTGCTGTAGAATGTGATGATGGGGAGTTTGTGGAAAGGATCATTACTGATAAATGTACAGAGGCTATGGCTACAGCACACTGCACCACATAGACTAGCTGTCATTCACATTGGCATCCAAGGCCCCAATGCATACTCTGATTTATCGTCAGTTTGACTTTAAATGGGACAATAACTTAAACGTCTTCTTTTATAACCTGCTGGTCATATGAGAGAATGCAGTCTAAGGCTACATCCAGTAGCGTAGCTTTGATTAGTGATACGACTGAGAACATCTCACAAAATTCCCCAGTCAGAACCTCTAACACTCGCTTTATCTCGTTTGTCTCAATGGACAGAAAAACCAACGCGTACAACAACATGTCCGACAGATGCAACATGACTGGAGAAAGTTGTTTTCACACTATTATAATTAACAGTATGAAAAACACTTGGTGTGATTGAATTTATAAGCATTTTAAATGAAAGACCACAGAGAAAGTTAGATGCAGAATTTCCCCCCAAAGTTTCAGTTTCATATTAAGCACAGTTTAATGTGGACAGAAAACATTGGCAGCTTCAGCGTGGACCGACTCTGAAGTAAAACTGCGGCTTCATTCCTCATTTTGAACAGTTTAGACAGCTCCGTGTTGCCAGCTTCAGATTTAAAATAAACATTTAGACGTGCTGTATATTCAAACCAGTGTGTGACGATACCAACTTGACTGTTTATAAAATCTAAAACGACCCACCTTTCCTCTGGAAGCTCTCGTCTCTGAGGACGCAGACGAGACCCGCGGTGGTGTCGAGCCTGATGATAGCCAAAGACTCCCTGTCATAGCCACAGCCATCCTCCATCAGTCTGCCAGGAGCGAGGGGACGAGAGAGGCAACTTCAAACTCTGGATAAAGAGAGGATGTGACCTTTGGCATCACTTGTTGAGTTTAATGCTTCCTACCTGTAAATGCAGGAGACATCAATGACGACATCGATCATTTCACAGCAGAGCTCGTGGGGCTGCGTGTCCACGGGCACAGCTGTCTGTGGTGTGACGTACATCCTCCCGACGACGTCAGACAGGAAGGCTCTGTCGAGGCCGGAGAGCTGAACAACTCAAAGGATGTTAATAAGAGAGGGAAACACACGGCGCCTGCTTATTGAAGTGCGATGAAACAAAATGACAGACATAAACAAGTTACAGGTGTGAACTCTGGAATCGAAGCTGTGACGCTGCAACACGAGTAACGTAATGTCTGATTACTGTGAGGACGGAACAGTAATGGCGGTTTGCTACTTTCAGCCCACGTTAAGTTTTCGTCATTATTGTGCACAAGAAAACAAAGAGTTTCTGAGTTGTTGTCCAACAACATAACTTTAACGTCACGAGACAGTTTAACTTTGTGTTTGAACACGTGCAGAGTGTTAGCTTGTTATCTCATCACTGGTGTTTGTTGTCGCTCAACTTCTCTCAGTGTGTGACTAAGTGGAGGCTGTTGGGTGTTTCGTGATGGTGCAGTTTATTGTGACAGCCTCACTGAGGTTGTTGTTCTTGTCTCTCTGTAGTTTCTCACCAACTCCTGAAGCTTCTTCTCCAAACGTCCCGCCATTGTTGAAATGTCTTCCTCGTGTCCTGTGGTGGTCCGGCTTTATGCTCCTGCCTGCACTGCCCCCTTACGATTTCCGGCGGTACTGCTCCGTAAACTTCCAGAAGAAACAGAAAGTTTTTCACATGAACAGATAAAGAAACAGATTCTGAAGATTTAAACGATAAAAAGATGATGAACAGCAAACACGTGGAGTCTAATGTTGAATATAATGAAGTGGATTTTGGGCTAGAGCAATTTTTGTCTGCATGTGTTTACATTTGAAGTATTGAATAAAGTGAATATACTATTATCAGCTCTCAATGTCAGTATTCAAAATACTGAAAATCATCGTTTCATTTCTTTGAGACGGAAGAAAAATTTAAAACAAAGTTCTGAAGTGACTTTTTATTTTATATCCTCCTTTATATTAAATATCCTTTTATTATCGTAAACATTTGCACTGATCTTCTGAAACACTGTCATGGTGTGAGACACAGTGAATAAAACATAAACATGTTTGTTGTGTGTTCAGATTTAAGTTTAAAAACGTTTTAAAGATGCAATCAGGCCCTGATTGAGGGATCATCTACATTAATCAATCCCTGGTTGTATGTATCACTCCCTGAGCCTCAGGAATAATTTGAAACCCTCACTATTAAATCCTAATCTCACATATCTTCTTTAAAACATCATAATAATGAAGAAAACATCCCACAAACTTCAATTTTTAACCCAAATGAGCGGAAAAAAACGCCAAACCTGGCAACACATCCTCCTCGCAATCTGATTGGCTGTTCGGTCAGAATCAAAACGTCGTCATGTGACCTCGGCCCCACAAACAAGGAAGTGACTGGAGACGGTGAGTGACGTCTGTAGATTAAAACCTTATTAACACTAAACAGGCTCGTGACCATTCAAAGATATTCACCTCAGCGAAATGTGAGATTCAATAAGAGTTAAATTTGACTCCGGTTTGTAAGAAAACGTGTTTATTCGTTGATTATTTGGTTTTAAAGCCTGAACTCTTCCTTGTGATTCTCTTTGATAACATGTTGGGCGCAGTGTAATTCCTGGGATCATTTCATTCTCCTCTATCTCAACAGCGAAGATTGCAGGAAATAGACACAGCCGAGTTTCTGTTCTGCACAATGAATAAAAGAGGCATTTTAAAATGCTTCACATCATTTTATGTGCATTTGTGGCTGACATGTTAAACCCAGCGTGAAAACAATTTAAAAGTAGTTTTCATCTCGGCAGGAAATACTACATCTCTGTGTACTGGTGGAATAAAAACACTGCATAAAGAAGTACTTCCAGTTTTAATGTAACTTAAAAACATGTCATGGTACTTTCATCTTGATACCCTGTGCAGTACTTACTATACTTTGACGTAAGGTCGATTTTACCTGTAATCGAGTTTTATTAGATTGCGATATTGATATTTTCACTTTAGTACAGTTCTTCAGTTCTACTTCACTACTTCAGTGTCTCAGTCAGTGGAAAGTGGAAGAGGAAGTCCATGCCGAGACTCACGAGTCTCCAGCGAGGCACTTTCAGGAATCTTTTTTTTTAATTGTTGTCTTGTGACTTGTCTTTTTCCTGAGGACTAAGTGTGATCGAGGTTTCACACAAACTCTCAGGGATGTCAGTGTCCACGTTTAACACAAGGCGTTCTGATGTTTATTTCTTGCTCTTGGTTTCTTGTCTCAGGGTCCAGAATGGCAGCAGCTCTCCTGTGTGTCCTCCTGGCTGGTCCAGTGCTGCTGGTTGCTGCCGGCCCAGTTCGTGACTCCATCAATGGGACCGTACCACTGGTAGTGTGGCATGGGATGGGTGAGTGAGCGTACTGCATTGCATCATATACTGAGAGAATAAAAAATTCTATGTACATATACACATATATACCTCTTTCAGTACTTAAATGATTATATTATATGAAAGTGCTGATTCTCAAGATTTTTAAGTCACATGTGATTTATTATCAGATTTCTTGTTACTGCGTGATGGACAAAATCAAGTTGCATAAAGTGAATATACATGTGTTCACCAGGTGACAGCTGCTGTAACCCTCTGAGCATGGGAGCGATAAAGAAGATGGTCGAGGTGGAGATCCCTGGCATTTACGTGCTCTCATTGATGATCGGGAAAAACGTCATAGAGGTACTGTTACGCTGTAAAGAAAACGTCTCGGTAGTCAAGTGTCTTAAGTCCTAAAGGATAAAGTTGCTGGAGGAAACAGGACCTGTCCTCGCTTTCTTAGACTTTTTCTATTATTTTTATGCTCTAATAAAGCATTTTGGAATCTTTTATCCACATAATATTTGTATATAATTTGATAATTTAAGCTTCTTAGCTCAGGAAATGTCTGATGTTTCACTGAGAAATTTATTTAATTTCTGTAAATGTACATAAAAACCTATATAAGCTCCCTTTTCTTCCTGCACAAGTGCACAATGCATATAGAAATATGACATGTTGTCATATATGGAGCAGTCGCTCATCACAGCTTCGCCTGATTCATCCACTTGAACATATAAGGATTCCTTCTCTGTGACTTGCAGAGCCAGTGGCTCGAGTTACATCAGAAAACGGCTCCTTTACAACTTTTTGTGATTTTTCTGTGTAACTATTCATTGCAACTTGTTACTTTTTGCTTTGATCCCCCGCGGGGACCCTGACTGCTTCTGTCCGTGTGGGCGCTGCTCGTCTTTTTCTTTTTGATTTGTCCGCCATGCTCTGAACTTCTCATGTGTCTCCTTCTGCAGGACACAGAAAATGGGTTTTTCATGGACGTGAACAAACAGGTGTCCATGGTGTGCGAGCAGCTCGCTCAGGACCCCAACCTGAAGGGAGGATACAATGCTATGGGCTTCTCCCAGGGGGCGCAATTTCTGTATGTAACTCCTGCTCTGGACTCTGAATGATTTTCTAGTGCGAATGACAGATCCCTTATTTTTCCTCAGGGTGAAGGAAATATCTTTTCTATGATTCCATCTCAACACATTGAAGCTTCGAAGCTGCAGCCTCTGTTACAACATGTTTTCTAAGTCTTTGTCTCCAGAAGAAGAATGAGGAAGCGTGTTGTGATTCCTCCTGGTTCCTCTCTTCACAGGAGGGCTGTGGCTCAGCGCTGCCCCTCTCCACCAATGAAAAACCTGATCTCCATCGGTGGTCAGCATCAAGGTAGTCTAAGTCTAATTATACTGATATATGTAAATGTTGGCATCACATATGTTATAAACTCTAGAATCTATGATGGTGAATATGAGTCACCATCACAATCTCATGATGTCGTGATGTTTGTTGTTCCTCAGGCGTGTACGGTCTGCCCAGGTGTCCCGGAGAGAGCTCTCGTATCTGTGACATGATCCGCAAAGCTCTGAACAGTGGCGCTTACTCCGACCTGGTTCAGGAACAGTAAGTTGCCGTCGCTCCCCTTGACGTGTTCAGCTGAGCAGACTGGATTATCGTGTGGCTCTGACGACTGTCACTGTTAAACTGAGGTGTTGCACTGACTGGATGTTGTGTCTGTGGTTATCAGCCTGGTGCAGGCGCAGTACTGGCACGACCCGCTAAATGACGACCTCTACAAGAAGCACAGCCTGTTCCTGGCCGACATCAATCAGGAGAGGGTCAGTGTGTGTGGAGAGGACTTTACAGAATCAGACCTGTGGTGTTTGCTTCAAAATATAGTGTCATTCAATCAAACACAGGGAGATTAGTCGTGTCTATGTCGATTCATACTGAAAATGTTCTCGTGTTTCACTTCTCTCTGCTCTTAAGGTTGTAAACGAGACGTACAAGAAGAATCTTCAGCGGCTGGAAAAGTTTGTCATGGTGAAGTTCCTGCAGGACACTGTGGTGGATCCTGTCGTTTCTGAGGTAACACACAGATCACACACACGGAAACGTTGCTGTACTGTTTACACTGTATTTTAAAATGTAGTAATGTTTGTATTGTGTTGTATATTTACTTTTTCATGCCACTCATGTCTGGAAACAAGTTATTATACTTTACTAAGCTGCATTTAGTTTTACTGGCTTGTGTTGTGTTCTACAGCATCAACGTCTTCAGTTTACCAGAGTAGATATCACCATAGCACTATGATGATTATATTATCCATCTTATTGTAATTTTCTCTGACTCTCCTCAGTGGTTTGGTTTCCTGAAAACCGGGCAGGGCAAAGAGACAGAGACTCTACAGGAGAGCGTTCTCTACACGGAGGTAAAACTCAAACTGTTGCTCCAAAATCTACCATTTGATGGTGCAGTATTCTGCATCGATCACCAGCTTTGTTTTCAGGCAGTGACTGTAAAACCTCTGTGACTGAAGTCTGTGTCTATACATTTAGGATCGTCTGGGGTTGGCGGCCATGGACAAAGCTGGGAAGCTGGTTTTTCTGGCAACTAAGGGAGATCACCTCCAGTTCACCAGAGAATGGTTCGACGAAAACCTGCTGCCTTACCTGCGCTAAAAACACTTTATAATATCAACCTGCAATTAAATGCAAGTTAAAATTAAAAGGCATTACAGTCTTACCAGAGATAGGGAGAAGATAGTTTCTTCATTTTGCACTGATCACTCATAGCATGTTGATGCAGGTTTTCTTTGTGTTCAACACTGTAATACTAAGACCAGACTCAGGAATATTATTTCCACTGTGAGCTCAACGGATGAGGTCCAACTCTTTTAACAGCCTAAAAATGTTCATAATTTCACTGATGTGATGCATCTGTACATCTAATAAAGACAGACCAAAATACATTGATTTTTATTGCAACATTTTTTAATGACGTCTCCAGAACTAATGAGCAGACTTCTGATTTTGGACCCAAAATGATAAGAGGTAAAAGAAAAAGAGACAATATTTAAAAAAAGAAATCAGTGAAGAGTGGAGACAGGGTGAGGAGGGAGGGAAGAGACGCTGAGGGATATTTACACACACACGATCACACCAGATATTTCCAATCTAGAGACTGACGTGGAGGTGGAGCCTTCAGTAACGATCAATTATTTCTTTCAGTCTCTTTGTTTTGTGTCATTTTCTTTCTCCTCCGCTCTGCAGCGACCTCTCTCTGCTCTTTACCACAACTTTTTCTTACAGGCCTCTTTACATGGAATGTTTTTAACACTTGGGAATGTTCTATGTGTGGGTTAAAGGGAATGTGGGATTATTGAGTTTTGTCCTATTTTAATTGCACAACATCATCAAGATGAAGAGTTAGATGGTGTGAAATAGACAGTGGTTTCACAGACTACTTGTTTTTGTGTCTAATTATGTGCTTTGAGTGCCGACAATTGTTTTTTTTAATATATATTTATATCATCTGCTTTGAATGTTACATAATCTTACAGTCAACATCAGTGGCGGTGATATGGAAGCCAGCAGCCTCTGTTAAATGGCTTCAGTGAATTGCATGAAAAGAAGAGAGAAACCCTGAATGAAGCATCGTGGTGGTGGAGCCTGATTGGCTGCAGTGCTTTCGTTGCAGAGGAATCACTGTTCCTATGTTGGCTATTCTACATGTTACATTTGTCCAGATAGAAAAAAAAAAAAAAAAAAGAGCATCCAGCTATTGGCATTATTCGTTTTTTGATAAGTGCTCCCTGGATCTCAGGGAAAACCCAATTTTAATGACAAGCTGCTCCCTGCTGATTGGCTGGAGGATTTGCTCCCAGGGTAAAGCAAGCACTCCTCATTGGCTTATGGAGGGGACAGCTTCAGCTGTGATTGGCTGTTAGGGAAGAAGGGATGGGAGATGGAACGCATGAGGTCCGAATCTCAGTCTACAGTGAGAGTTAGCTGGTGGAGTGGTCGATCAGTCAGGTAGGAGTTTGCAAAAAAAAAAATGGTGTGGGATGATGTCAAGGAGGGGGGGCGGTCATTTCATACACTGCCCCCGTCTATCCGGCGATCTCTGTTGCTGTGGTAACGAGCTTCTGGCCGTCCCAGACGGTCTTGAACTGCTCGGGAACAGGAAGCTCCGTCTAAGAAGGAAAGACAGAGAGGTCATGTTTAAATCCAATTGGTTCCAAGCATAATGCAAATTGACTTTGTTCCGTCCCTGATACTCACATATTCTCCGTCTTTGTTGGGTACCATGATGTTCATCTCTGAGCTCTTGGCGCTGATGATCTCGCACTGCAGGGAATCTTGGCTCAGGTAAACCTGGCAGCCGTCCGTCTTGTTGATGGAGATGGTCGGCACCTTACCCATGACCTTGGAACATAAAAGTAAACGCTTATTATTTAGAGAACAGCAGAAATCATTGGGTGACATCGTGAGGTGAAACAACGCTGCCTCGTTAACACACCTGGATCTTGACGTCTTTGCAGTTGATGATGTCTACGATGCCGACGACGTCATCAAACACCAGCCCACTTTTCTTACAATTGTCTTGAGAGAAATAAATGTATAAGAGCCGCAAGTTTTCAAAATCCATCCCCTTTTAAATTCTTACCTTTTGTAAGAACCTTCACATCATTAATATTAAATGAACAGATGCCACAACTCGTCTTCACGGTTCAGTTACATCTGACAGGTGGTTTTTGTTCTTACCTAAGGTGATGGAGTTGATTTTGCCCTTGACCTGCAGGGTGCTCTTGTTACACTTGAAAGCATAAACCACTTGTTTCAGCTCAGTGTCGCTGATCATCAGGTCCTGTGCTCCCTCGTGGTTCTCCTGCAGGAGGCGAGCAAGGAAAAACAATTTAAGAAATGAAAGCACAAAGACCGAGAGTTGATTACGTAGTTTTAAGTTTTAACACACTTTAAATAACAAGTGCATCTGGCTCAATGAGTCGTTTTGGCATTGCTCAAATCTGTAGCATAAACAAATGACTCCCGCTAACAGTGGGTTCTATTTTTCTATCGTTTAATCTTCCACATAACTTAGAGATAAACTCAGCTCCTGCTTAGAGTCAGATTTGTTGTAATGTGTGTGTGGACCAACAACTTACCACTTTCCACTTCTTCCCATCCAGCTCCAACACGGGGGGCAGAGTACGGGACGGGGCGGCAGCCGGAGCAGGTCGGGGGGTTGAAATGAAGGGTTTGGGTCCAGCACGCACTGAAGCGGTCTGACCCCTCAGGTCAGGATTCTTGTGGGTCTTCTGGTCGTCACTCACATGCTTCAGGCCTGGAGCGGTCGAGGAAGGAGGGAATCACAATTTATCAGCACATAAAAAACTTTTTTTTACTTTTACCGCATCTGTTCTTAGACAATTTTAGCCGCCTACCGCTGGTGATGTTGGATCCCTTGTTGATGGATTCGAACAAAGCGTTGTGATTAACAGCCCCAGAATTGCCACCACGGCCGCCAGAGGATCCACTCAAGTCCATGGGTGGAGGTGGTGGTCCAGGAGGGGGAGGGGGAGGACATCCACCAGCGGGAGCACTGGGAGGAGCTGCACTGGCCGAAGCTACGGGACCCTGAGGTGGAGGGAGAAGTTTAAAAAGAATTCTTCTGAAACCATCTCAGTCTCTTACAAGGAATGTCACATCAACTGATATCATACAAAACATTAATTCTTCTTCAGGTCTTTATTTCTTTATGTGTTGTAGGATTTCTCCCTGAAGACAGATGGAGGTAAGGATGATAATGGCTTTACAACTGTGTGAACAACTTCCACGTTTGAAGACGTTTAATTTGAATTCTTTAAGGACTCACGGTCTTGCTCCAGGTCAGTCCTGTGGTGTGGTGCTTTTTGATGTAGTTTTGCAGATCAGTCCAGATGGAGACGTAGATCTTCACCCACTCCACATGTGTCTTGTCCCTGTAGTGGAAGGAAGCAGGATCGTCTTGATGATCGTTCAATTCTTGAGCCGAGCGGAACGACTGGATAAAAGGTTCTACAAACTGCTCGGCTGCATTTGAATGTTCCAGTCACACTTTGTATTTATTCAACGTTCCAAAATTTCACAGTTTCAAAATGAAACGACATTGTGGACAGAGTTACTGCTGCAGACTGAAGCTTTACTTACTTCTCCTTGAAGTCTTTGAGCACGCGGTTGGTGTAGAACATGGCGGCATCCTGCATCTCTTTAACATAGGGGCCCGGTTTAGGAGCCTGGGAAAATAAAATGAAACCATTATAAAGACTGCAAATAGGTGGAAACACCGAGCGTGACATGATCCAAAAGGTGAAAACAAGCTAATAAGGAGAGGTTGTCAGCCTTTGTTTGATTAAAGAGCTTTAGATTCATTTCTAAACATAATCTGAACTGGTCAAAGCCAGACAAAGCTGTTTTGTCTTTTTCCTATTATTTATGCTGAGTCGAGCTTATCGCCTCCTGGCTGCAGCTTTATATAAAGCATGTCAACATGAGTGCTATCAATGTTGTTATCTAAACTCTAACTGTACAAAGCCCTTTCCAAAAGAATTGTTTATTACCGCTACAGATATGTGGTAAACGTAAGAGATTCAGTTCACAATGACATGTTTGAGGCGCAGGACAAGCCGAACAAATAATGGAACTATTATGGGAGTTTGAAAAAGCTGATAAATTATTCATTAGGATCAAAATGACAACAACAAACAGAGTTCATCATCTAGACTGTAACAGTGCAGCTCTGTTGATGGTGTCCATGGGGTCAGCCAAGAAACTGTCGCTCACCAGACAGCGATGACAGAATCAAAGAGGGGCTTGTTTCCTGCCATTACACACACGCATGCACTCACACACACACACACAC